GCACTGCAGACTTGGTCATCATTTTCTCAAGGTTCTGAAGTTGCTGGTTCCTTCCTTGAGTCATCCTTCATCGTTAGATTGTGAATCATGTCAATTGGGAAAACATCATAGAGTCTCATTTAGTCCAAGAGTTGATAGTCGTGTCTCAAGTCCTTTTACTTTAGTTCATTCTGATGTATGGGGTCCAATTAAAGTGGTGTCATACAATGGCTATAAGTATTTTGTAATCTTTGTTGATGACTTTTCAAGGATGACATGGATTTTTCTTATGAAAGACCGTAGTGAATTGTTCTCTATTTTTCAAAAATTTTATGCTGAAATACGCACTCAATTTGGTGTTCATATTAAAATTCTTCGCTCCGATAATGCCAAAGAATAAAACTCATCACCATTTCAGCAATACCTAGAACATCATGGGATAATTCATCAAACTTCTTGTGCCTACACCCCACAACAGAACGATGTAGTTGAACGGAAAAATCGACATCTCCTTGAAACTGCTCAATCCTTGATGATCAATATGAATGTCCCAAAGCATTTTTGGAGTGATGCTATTCTCACATCCTGTTTTCTGATCAATCGGATGCCCATGTCAATCCTTGGAAGTCAATCCCCCTTCTCCTTGTTGTTTCCCACCTTGTCTCCATTTCCTCTCACCCCAAGAGTCTTTGGGTTTGTTTGTTTTGTTCAACACTTGGGGCCTGGGGTAGACAAGCTTGATGCTCGAGCTACTAAGTGTATCTTTCTTGGCTACTCGAGGACTCAGAAAGGGTATAAGTGTTATAACCCTAAGTCTTATAAATCGGTTGTGTGCTCTGATGTCACCTTCTTTGAATCAGTTTCATTTTTCTCAGATGCTATGGTCTCTTCCTCTCCCTCTGTGGTTCCTCTTCCTACACCTATTGTGGACCCTCTTCCTGTAGCTTCTATTTCTACTGTAGATGCACATCCTATGCCTGTTACTACTGAGAGGCCGCCAATCACTTAAGTGTATACCCGCAGAAGTGCATCGGACCCTCCTCCACTTCAGCCCCTGTCGACAGATCTTGCTACTACTCCTTCTCCCTCAGATCTTGATCTTCCTATTGCTCTGCGGAAAGGTAAACGTACTTGTACTTCTCATCCCTTCTCACACTATGTTTCTACTGTTCACTTTTCTGCTTCTCATTGCAATTTTATATCATTACTCTCATCTGTTTCCATCCCCAAGACTGTCCAGGAAGCTCTTACCTCCCCAGGGTGGCGGCAAGCCATGGAAGAAGAACTCTCTGCTCTACAACATAATCACACGTGGGAACTCACTGCTCTTCCTCCCAGTAAGCATACTGTTGGGTGTAAATGGGTCTACACAGTGAAGTATCTTTCTGATGGTAGTGTGAGCGATTGAAGGCGAGGTTAGTGGCCAAGGGTTACTCTCAGTTGTATGGGGTGGACTATATGGAGACATTTTCTCCTGTGGCTAAGATTGGTTCAGTTCGGGTATTGATTTCATTAGTTGCTATGTATGATTGGCCTCTTGTACAACTTGACATCAAGAATGCCTTCCTACATGGTGATCTCGTTGAGGAAGTGTATATGGAGCAACCACCAGGGTTTGTTGCTCAGGGGGAGGCTGGTAAGGTGTGTAGGCTCAAAAAAGGCAATTTATGGACTGAAACAATCTCCACGTTCTT